GAGTTCTGATCTTCCTCCCTGCATCTCCCTGCCTTCATCGATGGAAAATTGGGGATTGCATGCGATGATGCAAATCAAGACCTACAACTACAAACCCAATCACACATGTAAATCCAAATCCCTGCATCTACCCTGCCTTCAACAATGAACAATAAGGGATTACATGCATCAATTTTCTGGGAAATTGAGAGATAAAGAGAGTGATACTAGATTGGGGATGGGTATGGGTGGCGTTTAATTTGGGGAGAAAGAAACAACTTTCGAAAACAATAAAGCTCCCCTCCTTTTGTATGCATTTATATCGGTCACGGGTTGCCGATTAACTGCACTGCAAAATTGCGGTTTTGGTGGCCGCTAACCGCATGCCTTCTGCGGGTCGACTATGATTGGGGAAATTGGCACTATTTTAGTGGCGGTTAACCGAACCAATTATCAGCCCTAGTTGTGATATTTCACGGTTTTGTTGTTATTTTCACTGCCTCAGGCAGTAAAGTGTGCAAATCCCGCGAGATGCACTTACCCTATTGGAAACTCGATTTGTTCAGAGTTTGCGGAGGGAGGGGGGGGGGGATTTTCACGTCCTCCAGGCGTGAACATTTTCTCTAACCTGTGAACCATGCAAAACCTTGACTTTTTTGCTCGCTTTGACCTCCGAACGTCCCAAAACTCATTACCGAGCTTGCCATACGTACTAGAACTTGAAATGTAACAAAAGAAGCACAACCTAGTTATAAAATGGTTCGAGTAGCGACGATTGCCAAATAATATAATCCAGACATGAGGGGGGGGGGGGGGGACTTGTATTAAATGGCTTGAATCAAACTTTCCTACACTTAACTATTTGCTTGTCCCCAAGCTAACTAGTACAACTTGCAAGACAATCACTATGGTATGAAGTATGAACTATAGCTCGATGGTAGTACTTTCTAAATCATAAACTTCATTTCCACCTCAATGCGATAATACAAACTCGGATAAGGACCTTGCCACTAAAGAGGTCTAGACACTTCATATGTGCACCGGAGGACTCTCGATGAAAACGGTTCAAAGCATGACTCAATAGTGGTACTCCTACTTTAGTGGCGATTGCCAAGTAATATAATCAAGACATGAGGGAGGGGGGGGGGGGGGGGAACTTGTAATTAAATGGCTTGAATCAAACTTCCCTACACTTAACTATCTGCTTGTCCCCAAGCAAACATAGGCAAACCAGTACAACTTGCAAGACAATCACTATGGTATGAACTATAGCTCGATGGTATTACTTTCTAAATCAATCAGAGACAAGAAACTTCACTTCCACCTCAATGCAATAACACAAAACCGGATGAGTACCTTGCCACTAAAGAGGTCTAGACACTTCATATGTGCACTGGAGGACTCTCGATGAAAACGGTTAAAAGCATTGGACTCAATAGTGGTGCTCCTACTTTAGTGGCGATTTCCAATTAATATAATCAAGACATGAGGGAGGAGGGGGGGGGGGGGGGAACTTGTATTAAATGGCTTGAATCAAACTTCCCTACACTTAACTATCTGCTTGTCCCAAGCAAACATAGGCAAACCAGTACAACTTGCAAGACAATCACTATGTTATGAACTATAGCTCGATGGTAGTACTTTCTAAATCAATCCGATACAAGAAACTTCACTTCCACCTCAATGCGATAACACAAACCCGGATGAGGACCTTTCCACTAAAGAGGTCTAGACACTTCATATGTGCACTGGAGGACTCTCGATGAAAACTATTAAAAGCATTGGACTCAATAGTGGTGCTCCTACTTTAGTGGCGATTTCCAAGTAATATAATCAAGACATGAGCCGGGGGGGGGGGGGGGGGGACTTGTATTAAATGGCTTGAATCAAACTTTCCTACACTTAACTATTTGATTGTCCCCAAACAAACATACGCAAACCAATCAATTCGAGACAAGAAACTTCACTTCCACCTCAACGCGATAACACAAACCCGGATGAGGACCTTGCCCCTAATGAGGTCTAGACAGTTCATATGTGCACTCACTACAAGAAAAACATGGTTTAGAGTCGATTATTTTATGCGTTTAGTGTCGGTTTTAACCGACACTAAAGTAATTCGTGTCGGTTCACTTAACCGACACAAAAACAGCCGACACTAACCTAATTTGTGTCGGTTTTGGCCAACCGCTGGAGTAACCGTCGCAAATCAAGTTTGCATCGGTTATTAACCGACACTAACAATATATCAGAAAATACCATTTCGAAATGAAATATTTGGTTCGAGTCGGTTGAACGGACACAAAATAACCGACTCTAGTTATACTTTTTTTTTTAAATCCAGTTCGTCGTTGACCGGCAGAACCAGAATCACAACGACAAGAATTCCGGCCGCAGGCGAAATTGTGGCTTCCCATCATTCTCAGCAAACACTCCCCAACTGTTGATAAAGGCGGATCTGGAATGAAGGGACGATAAGGGTAAAGGAGGAGGGAATAGTTCGAAACCAGAGCTAGGGTGAACCAGAATCGCCGTCTGCCTCATCTCCCTCCGCCGCCCCACTTTGCGAGTTCAGAACCTATCTTTCACTCACTAATCTTTCTTCATGAACAAACACCTCAACCCAGAAAATATAGTAGCAAAAACCCAGGAATCAAAATCCCCAAATAAAGAGATCAAAACCCCAAACCCAGAAATCGACACCACTCATCCCAGAAATCAAAATCCCCAAATACAGAAATCAAAACCCCAAACTCTAAAATCAAAACCCTCAACCCAGAAAACATAATCCCAGCTTCCTCCAATCATTCGTGGCAGAGAAGGATTAGTTGCGGCGGATCAATTCCTCCCCTGTGTGAAACCGCCGCCGCCCAATCACTCATCAACTCTTCGTCGGATGTTCATTGGCCCAGTATGCCATCGAGCTGCGCCATGGGAGGGATTTCGTTGCCGTCGATGGTGTTGGTTGGATTTGTGCGAGGAGGGAACGTAGGTCGTCGCCGAATTTTTCAAGGAAGAAGCCTAGGTCATCATCGGATCTCCAAGTTTCTACCCAGCTCTCTCACCGACGATCCATCTGGAGCTGTGTAATAATCAAGGAGAGCAAAGGAAGATTTGTTTGGGGTTTGTGGAGAGGCTTCTGGCGATGGAAGAAGTTAGGCGGGCGGCGTTGTTCTTTGTTGCGAGAAGAAGAAGAAGAAGAAGATAAAGAAAGAGAGGGGAAAAGGGGTTTCTCTGGGATTGAGATAGATAGCCTGATAGGTCGATGGGGGAAGAATTAAATAAGGGGGAATTTGAGTTCAAATTAATGGGGGAAATTTGGGCGGGTGGTTCACATTTTAGAGCCAAACAATTTCGTCAAAAATTCAAACCCCAAAACTTGTGTCGTTTACTGTAATAACTGACACAAATCAGTTGAAAATTGTGTCAGTTAAACAAAAACCGACACAAATCAATTGAAAATTCGTGTCGGTTACCCATAACCGACTCAAAATGATAAAAAAAAATGTGTCGGTTGAATAACCGACACAAATAACTGACGCAAAATATATATTTAGTGTCGGTTAAGTGAACCGACACAGGATAACTGACACTAATCACCTTTTTTCTTGTAGTGACTGGAGGACACTCGATGAAAACTGTTAAAAGCATTGGACTCAATAGTGGTGCTCCTACTTTTTCAAAAGAGCACTCAAACTTTAAGCCTCAACTTAACAATGCCGAACATGGCACTACTTTTATTTTTCCTCCTAGCTTTTTCGTATTTGCATGACAAGGGCTTGATCTCAAGGCGAGAGCTGACGACATTCACTTCTCTTTTCACGCCTCGTGTAGGGGAAATGATGGTTGTTAAATTAAACAACGATTCCTGACCATCTAAGCGATAGAGAATTGCCACACATGTGAGATATTCAAAAGCCGAGACTTTTGACTCTAGCAGAAGAAGAATCTAGCATAATATACGACTTCTCAATCAAGTCCATGAGGAGGAGCAGTGATCCAAGGAAACATGGAAAATTAGCAAGGTGAAGGTTGTACGCTAGAAAACTATCCTAAAAATTTCTCAGAACAAATCCTCAAATGACAGTCTGGTCCAAAAGAAAAGTCATTTGATGGCTTAACTTAAACACTATGATCGGTTGTCTCTCATGTGACACACTTTATAAAATATTTTTCAAAATCAGAGCACCTTTTTGCAAAAAAAATTGGAGCCCAAATTGGAGAGCGTCCCACACATATCTCCTCACCTTGATAGTAGATAATATCAACACATCCAAAAGGAAATGGAAGCAATACCTCTCATGTTTCAACAAACCTCGTAGCGCTACACTACTTCCTATAATGCACACCATCTCTACCATTGAATTATTGACTTGTAAACCAAAGCAAAGTGAAATTAAATGCAAACCAGAGTGGTTGGATTGCCTTCCAACAAGTACTTCTTTCTTGTCAGGAGTCGGACGGTGAATGATCAAATTTCGGTCCATCCCAAAATCTCATTGAAATTGAGGTTCTCCTTGTTGAGATGGTGTCTTAAGTCACGAGCATGCGGTATGAAAAGTGATAATAATGGCTCGTGAACTTGGTTAGATTTTAGACTCCATCCACACAACCTCTTCTTCTTTCCTTTTTTTTTTCCCCATACCAAGTAGTAATTTGAGATTTCATACCTTATTTTTGCCCCATAACATGTAGTAATTTGAGATTCCATACCTTAGTGTAGATGGTTGGAGAGATACTTCACCTTCCCATTCGCTTAATTCTTTTCTCAATGGCACCACATGAAAATCACAGATCTAAATACGATTGTCCCTCTTAGCTAATTAACTCTAACTAATATACACTATACAAACTCTCTTTTTCCGCCCTTTAATTTCCACATAATATTTACCTCTTAAGTTTAACTTATGCTCATCCCATATTTTACCATTCGCCCAACAGTGAAAAGCAATGGAAGGTAAATCATTGAGTGCTCTGCTCACATATCATCTCACTCCGATCTGAATCTAGACGCCGAACACCTAAGCAACCGCACACGAGTTTTCATCTTCGTCTTCCCCAGCATTAGGCTTGAGAAAGCAATCCCAGCTTCTGAGCTTGAGCAATAGAAACAGCACAATCCCACAGACGAACCCCAAAGCAGCGCTGGACCCAGTCAAAGAAATCGCCGCACATACCAGCATCACGAACGAATCCTCCTTGGTGTTCATGTCCCTGGACGCCATCGCCAACTCGATCCCTGCAAACAGCAGCAGCACCCCCAGAATCCCGATCGGGAACTGATTCAGAATCGTCACAAACGAGCTCCCGAACACCAGCCCAATCACCAATTTCCCCAATCCCAGAATCACCACCGACAGCCCGCTCCTCGCTCCGAACCTGTACTGCCCTGCCAGCCCGCCGGCGCCGTGGCACACCGGCATGGCTCCGAACCAGCACCCGACGAAGTTCATCACTCCCACGGAGATTGAAACCCTCGCCGCCGATAAGTCCCTGTCGGGGAAAAGGTCAGTGGAGAGTTTGCAGACGGCGATTACGGAGTTGAGAATTGACAAGGGGATCTGGGGGATCGCGCCTTTTAGGAACCCAATTTTCCAATCGTCCCATGTGATTGTCAGCAATCGGATCGGGGACGGACCGAATTTCAGGTTGGAGAAGATCCCCGGGTCCCGGATGAAGCAGAGGACTAATCCGAGTAGGAACACGATCAGCGCGGCGGGGATTGCGGAGAGGATCCGGATCCGATTCGCGACCCGGCGGCGAGATCTGGTCTCACCGCTGGAAGTGCTGGAGCCGCAGCCGCCGTCGGAGCCGGAGCCGGTGGTGAGGACGAGGAAGAGGAGGGCGGAGAGGGCGAGAATCAGTCCATCGAGGCCGAGCCAGGACCTGGCGGTGGTGGATTTGGAGGCGACGAAATCTTGACTGAATTGGATGTACTTGACGGCGGAGAAGGCGAAGGAGAGGCCCTGGGAGAGCTGGACGCCGCGGACGACGGGGAGAGGGAGGTAGCGGTATAGCAAGGACATGAGGCCGGTGGATCCGAGGATGAAGAGAGTGGCAGCGGTGGAGAGCCCGGCGGTGGCTATCTGGGAAGGGGTGAGGTGAGGGGTCTCGGAGACGGCGACGGCGGCGATGGATTTCATGGGCTGGACGGGCATGGGGACGCCGAAGAGGAGGCCGGTGAGGATGTTGTAGAGGGCGGTGAAGATTAAGGTTGTGGAGAGGTCGAGGTGGGAGACGAGGGTGAGAGTTAAGACGATTGGGATGAAGGTGCCTAGGTCGCCGACGGCGCCGGACATTTCGGAGAATAGGTTTGTTTTGAGGCGGAGCTGACTGCGCCACCACTGGCCACGGCGGAGGAGCGGCGTGTCGGCGTCGGAGAGGGATGAATCCATAGTTGGTGGAGGCGGAATAGCGTGCGATTGTTTTGGTCAGATCGTTTCTGTTGAAATGATTTAATAGAGGCAAACGGCTCAGAAAAGGACAAAATATTTATCGTTAATAATTGGCGGATAAACTTTCCTTCACCAATCACCAGACGAATATCGGAATATGCCAACTGGGAAATAGTTTTGCTTTTGGTTCGATTACATAAAATTAGATGGTAAAATAACACATTGAAATTTTAGTTGCTCATATTTTTTCTCATATGACCATAGAGTTCAGAATTACAACTAATCTATACAATTTTTTCTCCTATACTTGTCCTATATTGATCATTAGACGAATATCTAAAGTTGTGTCGAAGAAGTTTAATATATAAATTGTAAACTACAAGCAAGTCATAAATGATTTTCACATACATGTGCACATTTTCTTGTTCATTTTATGCAAATGGAAATTGAAAATTGCGAGATGACTGAAGCTATGGCCTTTGTTGTTTGGAATGAAAGTGGCTAATAGGTGCGATATTTTTGGGTCACAGATTGAAATAATTTATTAGCGGCAACGACTCAGAAAAAGACAAAATGTTTATAATAAATAATTGACGGATAAACTTTCCTTCTTCATTAGACGAATCACGAATATGCCAATATGGAAACACTTTTGTTTTTGGTTGGATTACATAAAATTAGATTGCAACAATAACATAGCACTTTGAAATTTTAATTGCTCATATTTATTGAGCCTGATTAGTCTTGGTTTGGACTTGGTTGGTTAGTTTTATTATTTTGGGACCTTACTGTAATTTGTACTATACCCGTGTTTAATTTGTCGAAGGGTATAAGTGTTTTGGCTATCGCCTCCTGCAACCCTAACGTAGAGGTAGCTTGTTTTCTCCTTCATTGATAGTGAGAACTTCAACATGAGAGCTATGGTCTCCGTGGATTAGTCCCAGTCTTCGGGGATATCATGTAAATCTCGTGCGTCGTTTCTTTTCCGCATTCCTCTATTTTACATGATATAAGAGCAGTAACATCTAGACCTTTTGTGTTGGTTCATCATGGGCAAGGACGAGGATTCTACGAGCGATGGGTCTGGCGGCGCCCCTGTGGCCGACGAGGTAATTCCCATCAGCTCACCTCTTTACCTCCATCCCTCTGAGAATCCGGCGCAGCTCTTTGGTAGTGATTTGCTTACAGACCTCAACTATGGCGAGTGGGTTAATGATCTCACCAAGACTCTCATCGCCAAAAACAAGATGACTTTCGTCGATGGATCACTGCCGCGTGCAAAGGCTGGCACCCCGCGTCGCCAAGAGGCGTAGGATCTTTGTGATGCCACCGTTAAAGGTTGGCTCAAAACCGCAATAATGCGGGAGGTACGCAACAACGTCCGCATGGATTCCACGGCGCGCGACATCTGGTCTGATTTGCAGAATCGTTTTAGTACGGGATCGGCGCAGTGCTCTTATGAGTTGCGTCTCCTGATCAGCTTCCTACGATAGGATAAGCTCTCCGTCTCCTCCTTTTACACCAAGTTACGCTCGTACTAGGACGAGCTTGATGCCGTGAGTGTGGTGCCGCGTTGTGTTTGCTCTGGGTGCACCTGCGGCGGGTGTGGGTGTCGTTGTGACTTGATCTCAAAACACCAGGCGAAACAAGAGACAGAGAGACTGTTCGAATATTTACTTGGGTTGAACGATGGTTACGCGGTTGTTCGATCACAAATCTTGAGCTCTCGACCCACACCCACACTTGCAGATGCCTATCAACGCGTCTCTGCCGAAGAGCAACACAGGTTGCTTACTAATGGTCGGCGCCCTCCTATGGACACTGCTGCCTTCCAGGCACAAGCGGCGGACAAGGAGCCTAAGGATGATCGTGAGAAGCTGCGGTGTATCAATTGCAACAAGGTGGGTCATCTCCGCGAGACTTGTTATCGTCTCATAGGCTACTCGCCAGGCCATCCGCGAGCTAAGTCCGTGGAGGATCGTCCCTCGAGTGCTCAGCGTCGTCCCATGGATGCCCATGTCGAGCATGAATCCTCGGACGGCAGCCCTATTCCAGGACTCACCGCAACCCAGTTTGCCCAGCTTAAGCAGTTCTTGTCGACATCCACTCCTGATGCCTCTACCGATTCTACTGCACACATGGCTGGCAACACTCCTGATCTTTCTGCCTGGTTAATTGACTCTGGCTGTAACGAGCATATTGTGTGGGATGCACATTGGTTAAGTTATGTTTATTGTGTATCTGGTTCATCTAAAGTTCAGATTCCCGATGGTACGGGTATTCCCGTGCATGGGATTGGGGCGATGCAGTTATCGGATTCTCTTCATCTGAATCGGGTCTTACATGTTCCGAATTTCAAATGTAATTTGTTTTCCGTGAGTTGTTTGACTCACGAGCATAATGTAGCAGTGGTATTCATTCATGACTTCTGTGTCCTCCAGGCCTTACCTTCCAGGACGCCGATTGGCATCGGTAGGCTTCGTGACGGGCTTTACTATTTCAGTCGGATCGCTGAAGGCTCTCTCCCTCAAGCGTGGAAAGTGGTTGGTCGAGAGGATGCGCCGGATTTGGCATGCAAGACTAGGGAATCCTTCTATTGATAAGTTGATTTTATTACGGGATTTTGTGGGTTGTACTTTGGATTCTCGGCATACATTGCGTTGTGATTCGTGTCTACGTGCTAAGCAGGCACGAACCCCTTTTCCCCACAGTTCAATTAAAACTTTGTCTTTTTTTGATCTTCTTCATGTCGACATATGGGGGCCGTATAAGACTCCAGCTTGGGATGAGTCGCGGTTCTTTCTCACTATCGTTGATAACCTTAGTCGGTTCACATGGGTTTATCTTATGAAGTTTAAATCGGACGTTGAGAGGTATCTCAGGTTGCACTGTGAACTCGCAGTCACTCAGTATGGGAAACATGTGCATCGTATACAGGCGGATAATGGAGTTGAATTTCAGGCTAACTCTCTTCGTGCTTACTACGAGGAGAAGGGTATTCTACTTCAGACCTCTTGCACTAACACGCCATAGCAAAATGGAGTGGTTGAGCGTAAGCATCAACACCTTCTAGAGACTACCCGTGCGCTCATGTTTTACGCTGGTCTCCCCATTCGTTTTTGGGGTGAGTGCGTTGTCACTGCCGCTTATCTCATCAACCGGCTACCTTCTTCGGTCATCTCCCACAAGACACCTTTTGAGGAGCTTCTCAACAAAAATCCCACCTATACTCACCTTCGCGGTTTTGGGTGCCTCGTTTATGTCAAGGATACGCACCACGGTCTTGACAAGTTGGTCGAAAGGCGGAGGCCTTGTCTTTTCGTGGGATATACCAGCAACTAGAAGGGATACCAAGTTTTTGATCTCCTGACCCGTCGCATTCTAGTCTCGCGTGACACTCATTTTGTCGAGGACTGCTTCCCCTTTCGTGAGCCTACCTTCTCTTCTTCACACGTTCCCGAGGCCCCTCTACATGCGCCATTCCGGTCTCACGTGCATGAGCTCTCCATGCAGCACTCCGGTCCCGTCATTGACGAGGCGCCTTTCATTACGGCTGATGAGGACCCTGCTGATTTGTTCTCGCCTGATGGTAATTCCGGACCCCATGTTGACGATGCCTCTTCTCCTCGTCATGATGACCTGGTTGCTAATGCTATTGAGGCCGCTAGTGATGATGATGATGAGCATTCTGGCGTGGAGACTTCTCCCACAGCTGCTACGGCACCGTCACCGCCCCCTCCACGGCGCAATCCAATTCGTAATCGCCGACCTCCTTCCCGACTCGAACCCTATGAGGTAGCGTTGCATGGTTCCCGTTCCTCTAATTCGGTCCAGTACCCCATTTCACATTATGTCAGTTATGATCGTTTATCACCTGATTATCGTGCTTTCTTAGCTGCCGTCACATCACTGGTCGAGCCGCATCACTTCTCCCAAGCGGCTAAATATCAAGAATGGTGGGATGCCATGCAGCGGGAAATCACAGCTCTGTAAGATAATGGCACTTGGACTCTCGAGTTATTACCTCCTGGTAAACGGGCCATTGATTAAGGTCTCACGTGCATGAGCTCTCCATGCAGCACTCCGGTCCCATCATTGACGAGCCGCCTTTCATTACGGCTGATGAGGACCCTGCTGATTTGCTCTCGCCCGATGGTAATTCCGGACCCCATGTTGACGATGCCTCTTCTCCTCGTCATGATGACCTGGTTCCTAATGCTACCGAGGCCGCTAGTGATGATGATGATGATGAGCATTCTGACGTGGAGACTTCTCCCACAGCTGCTACTGCACCGTCAGGGGGCGATCCAATTCGTAATCGCCGACCTCCTTCCCGACTCGAACCCTATGAGGTAACTTTGCATGGTTCCCGTTCCTCTAATTCGGTCATTTCACATTATGTAAGTTATGATCGTTTATCACCTGATTATCGTGCTTTCTTAGCTGGCGTCACATCCCTGGTTGAGCCGCATCACTTCTCCCAAGCGGCTAAATATCAGGAATGGTGGGATGCCAAGCAGCGGGAAATCATAACTCTTGAAGATAATGGCACTTGGACTCTCGAGTTATTACCTCCTGGTAAACGGGCAATTGATTCGAAGTGGGTTTACAAGATCAAGTATCGTCCTGATGGCACTGTAGAGCGATACAAGGCTCAGCTTGTTGCTAAGGGTTTTACGCAGTTGGAGGGCATCCACTTTCATGACACTTTCGCACCTGTTGCAAAACTCATTACTGTCCGAGTTCTTCTTGCAGTTGCTGCCCATAAATCGTAGCCTTTGCACCAGCTGGACGTGAATAATGCATTCCTCCATGGTGATTTGGATGAAGAGATTTACATGAAGCTGACATCGGGTTTTTCCCATGCCGGAGATCAACGTGTTTGCCGTCTGCGCAAGTCTCTCTATGGTCTCCGACAGGCGTCACGGAATTGGTATGCCAAGTTTACCTCGGCCCTTCAGGAGTTTAGATTTTTTTATCTCAAAGGCTGATCCTTCTCT